GAGGTTCAGAGTGATTAAACAGCTGGGTCAGGGCCCTCAGCTAGAGTGACTCAAAGCAGAACTCACACCCAGGACTCCGAGACCAGAGCTGCATTCCCGCCGCGGCATGGACAGAGAGAACGAGCCAGGGCAGAAGCCTCTGAGGATCCCCCTTTCAGATTCTGTTGAAGGTTACGAGTCTTCCTCTCAGAAAATGAACTCTGCATCTTTACTCACAGTTTTGCATAAATTTCACATGGTTCAGGGGCTCTTCTTGAACCCCATCTAAGGACCCTTGACTGAGAACCCCTAAACTAAAAGAACGAAGGCAGCTGCTGCCTTGACCTAATCAGCAGGACACTTTTGTACTGATTTTCTCTATTAGACTGGAAACTCCTATGCTCATGGAATTACTGAATCTTAAGACTCACCAAAGAACAGAATTGTGGATTCTTGATATCATAAATTCATCTAAGCATGGAATTAAACAATTTTAGGTTTTAGAATCAGAAAAAATCTTAGAATGTCAGAGCTGGAAGGCATCAGAGTAGAGATCAAGTCCACATATAATTTCAGCCTACAGCAACTCTGAGAGGTAGGAGGTATCAGACACTCAGCCTACGAAAAGGGACAGGGCTTGCTCCAGGCCACGCAGTAATAGTGGCGGAGTCACGATCAAACCCCAGATGCTGGCTTCAAAGCCACAAGATTTGGTTAAAGATTCAAGCAGTAGAAGGAATGCCATGCGGTCTGCATGGGGCTGAGAAAAATGGGGACAGAGGAACATTTGTTGAGTACCTATTGGGTGCCAGGCAGTGGCAGGGGCCTATAGATAGATGGCATCATTTCACTCTCCCAATAACCCTGCAAAGTGAGCATTATTATTTTTATTTTACAAATGGGGAAACAGGTTCAGAGTGGTGAGGTAACCAGCCCAAGGTCACACAGCTAGAGAAGCATCAGTGACTGTGTTCACCGCTGTATTTCCCTGATGTAGCAGAGGAGGGAAGTCAGAGAGTGAGACCCTGGTAATATTCAGCTCGTGCTCTTCCAGGGAGAAAAATTAAACTGACAGACACATCTGCTCTGGCGGGTGGGGAGGAGGACAGTACTGTGGGCTTGGGTGAAGCATCCCCCAGGACTCCCCACCTCCCCCAGCCCTTCCCTGATCTTATGCACATCCAGCATCTGGACAACTCATTTGGCCTCCATGAACCCTGACGCTGGGAAGGGAGTTCTCCAGATGACAGACAAAAAACCCCATCGTGCAACAGTACACCCGCACTGTGCGAGCCAGTTGGTGTCCTGAGGTCAAGGCCCTCAACTACGGTGACCCCACCAAGGCCTTTGCTCCATGAACCCTACCAACACAGCCACTGGCCTCTTACCCTAACAGCCCCATCTACCTTCTTTAACATAAATGCAGGCCCTCATTCCCGGTCACATAACCCTTTTCAATGTTTTCACCAATAGCCACTTAATATTTAAAGCTTGCAGTGCACATTCATATAAATCATTGCATTTAACTTCATTGCAACTCAGTGAGGTTAAGTATTACTATGTCCTCTTGTTTCAGATGAGGACAGTGAGGCCCAGAGAGGTTATGGAACTAGCCCAAGGTGGCACATCCAGTTAGTGGCTGAGCCGGGAATCAAACCCAGATTTGTCTGAATAGAAAGTCCTTTCTCTCTGCATAACACCACACTTTTTCAAGAGTATTTCTATTTAATATAGCAGGGAGTAGAAAAGCAGGAAGCTCCTTGGTCCCTTTGTGAGAGTGACTGTGCTCATCTCCGTGAGGCTGGAGGACTCGCTGAAGGGCAGTCTCCGTGATGACGCTAGTGCTGTCGTCAGAATCCAGGTCTTCTGACTCCCAGTCTAGAGGACACTTTCTCCCAGACCATATTGCCGTCCCCATCAGACCATGTAATTTCTTTTTCTGATGGGGACACGGAGCCAGCAGTCAACACAGATCACAATCTGTCTGCCTGAAGTCTCCCTCTGTTATGAGATGAGGGTTTAAACAAATGCATTTCAAACAGGAACCAGGTTAAATCACCCTCACGTGTGTTGAAGTGGCCTGAGCTTCTCTGGTACAACTCCAGGGTCCTCCTCTCATTCCCTGGATGACACAACAAGGCATGGTGGCTCCAGCAGCAACGTGGCCTGCTCAGCTCGTGGGCAGTTTCACTATTCCCCCTTAACTCCTTCCGATCACTAGCTCCTGTTGCCCGCTGACACCCCCATCCAGTCACTCGCCAGCTTTTCTCAGCTCCTCATTCTAAATATTCCCCGGCACCACGCTGTCGAGGCCTGAATCATATCCCACCTGGATTATCACAACAGCCTCCTACTGCATGTCCCTGGCTACTGTCTTGGCCCCCTCCAATCTATCCTTCCCTCAGTAGACAGACTGGCCTTCCACTGCTTTTAAAACTCTTCTATTACTCTCTATTGCCTTCATACTCAAATTCAAATGCCTTAGAGCCTGCCGTGTCAGTCTCATCTCTTCCATCTGAAGTCCTTACAGCTCGTGCAGCTCACCTTCCATCCTCCCCTCTCTGTCTACAATGTCCTCCCTCCAACCACACACCCAACCCAATCTGGTTAATTTCTACTCAATCTTAAAAACTCAGCTTAGATGTCACTCCCACTGGGAAACCTTCCCTGGCCTCCCCAACTATGTTTGAGGCCCCTCCTGCCCCCACACAAAGACATTTTTGTCATTGGTACATTCACTGCTACATCCCTGTGCCTAGAGCTTGACCTGGCTTACAGCAGACACTCAGCACACACTTGTCGGACAGAAGTTTCCCATGGCCCTCCCAAGTCCTCCACCGCAGAACTTACCATCCATGTCATAGTTGCCTCTTTCCTTTTCTGTCTCCCAGAGCAGACGGAAAGCTCCACGAGTCAGGAGCCAGGCCTTCCTGCTCAGTGTTTACCCCAGGGCCCTTGTATGTTTCCTGCACATACTAATGGTGTGTTCACTTGTAATGAGTGAGGACTGGGCATCGAGGGGAGGAAACCTTGGGCCTGGGCTGAGAGACGGGCACTCTACTAAGAAACACATTTACTTCCAACACAAAAGCACGTCAGAGGGGTGCTGAGAAAGAAGAGGATAACCCATCAAATTTGACATCCGAAACCAACCACGAACTAAATGCAGGACTTTGGAGGGTCCCCTTCTTATTGTGAATAAGGATTGCAGAACCCCCTTTGGTGTCTGTGCTCAAACTCTTCTTCCAAGCAAATCCCTCTAGCTCGTTTGCCACCTTATCAGAGGAGAGCAGAGCAGGTGCCGTGTGGAATGTGGCTTATGCATGTCTTACAGGAGTTAGCAGATCCTGGAGAAGTCATGGGCTGCACATCAAGTGTGTGTTGGTGGGGGTACAGTGTGGCACATGGAAACGCCCAGGACTTTGGAAACCAAGGGTCCTCTGCCTTAGAGCAGAGCCTACTCCACTGGCCTTGCTGAGCCAGTAGTTCTTAAAGCAGACTTCAAGATGTCTGCTTCAGGCCTGACTGAGGCAGGGGACGCTCAGTTCTTATTATGGTCTCTGCAACGTTCTCCCGGATCTGGAACACTGCTCTCACACCTGGCCTACCTACTCTTGTCCCTCCCTCTGGGGCCACCATGCTGCCTCCCAAGCTCCTATGTTGGACCCCCCGCCCCCCACAGCCACTAGGCTGTAACTGACTGGGTGGACTGGTCCTAAGTCTTGCCATGACCAGAAAGGATGTTCTCCTGCACAGAGTTTGGTAGGAACTCCGTAAACACTCTCCAAGGGTTGAATAAAGGCTGAAAGGGGCACTTCTACTTCCAGGAAGAGAATATTTGCATATATCCTGAGTTAATTTTATCCTTCTCCTTTCTCCTCCTTCAGCTATGCAGTCGTGCACCACTTACCAATGGGGATGTGTCCCGAGAAATGCGCCACTAGGCGATCACATGGTATCGACCCTGTGGGGCCACTGCCACACATGCGGTCTGTTAGTGACTGAAATGTCATTATGCAGCGCATGACTAACACTCTCTCTCTAAGAAAACTAAGTTTTAGGAAGGGGCAAATGAGTCAATCCAAAAACAAAAGGATAAAGGAAAGCAGAACCTGTCACAATCTGTCGCAACTCTGATGCAGTGACCTTGAAATTAAAATCAACACTCAGGAAACTAGAATTACTAAATAACCCCTAAAACATGAAGCAAGTTAGAAAGTAACCTCTAATTCCATCATAACAAGCTTGAGTGTTTTCAGAGAAATTTTATGAAGAAGGCAAGAGGAAAAGAAATTTGGCAAAGGAAATGCAAAGGCAGAGAGAAAGACGCACAGAGGATGAGGGGTAAGGCAGGGAAGATGGGAGGGAAGCAAAGGGAGAGGAAAGGAGGAAAGGAGGGTGGGAAAAAGAGAGAAAACAGAAAGGGGCGGGGAGAGGACATGAGAAGTAGGGAAAGAAAAACACAGGAGCGGAGGGAGAGAGAAAAGAGAGAGGACAGGGGAGAAAAGACAAGTAAAAGGGAAAATAGTGAGCAGAGAGACGAGACTGTGAGAGAGCAAGAGACAAAATGATGAAAGATGAAAAGAGAAAATATAGTTCTAAATGTTCAGGGTTAGGAGGAGGAGGTCATCCTCAGCAGCCCCGGGATGGTCATCCAGCCCATGCACTTACATACCTTAGATAGCAGAAGACTCACTCCCTCATGAGCAAATGGAGGATGGAGAGAGATGGGAGCAGCATATGGTAAGGGCAGGCCATGGGCCCAGGTGCCTGAGGAGAACTTGACGCAAAGCACAGGCAGTTGGGAGAAGGGTGTCCAACAGAAGAGCAAGGGACAAACAAGACAATTCAAAGATGCCACCAGCAGGACCTACCACCTCCATCCTTATCTGAGTTTCAGCTCTCACCTAAGCTGGAGACCTTATTCACCACCTGATAGTAAATCCTGCTAGACCTGGATACTCTTGGCTGGATGTGGTCCGGCCCAGGGCTGGGGTGGGGGTGGGACATGCCAAGGATACAGGCTTCCTCCGTGTAGGGCACAGCAGCCGTGGTGCCTCCAATGATGTAGCTGTAGAAGGAGACCTCCAGAGTGTAGCAATAGGAAGTGTGGTCCAGCAGTCCACCAAGGAAGCGACGGCCAGTTCCCGCTTTCACGGCATCCCGGTTAAAGGATGTGCTCGACTATGAAAGACAGAGGAGGGAGGAGAGAATCAGGGCTGGGCACCTGCTGGCTATTTGGGTCTTGAGCAAATCTTACAACACCTCCGGGTCTCAGCTTCCTCATCTGAAAAGTGGGATATTAACCGCACATCACAGGATTATTATGAGGACTGATTAAATAAACAAACATAGTTAAATGAAAGCATCCAGCAGAGTTCTTGGGGCACGGTAACTGCCATTTAACAAATATTTGTAGAAATCTGAATGGGGACAGAGGAGCAAGGAAAAGTAGACAGGAAACAAGAAGCAAGTATATAATGATGGTAACTAGAACTGAAATTGGGGAAGTGCTTTCAGCTTTATCCTATGGTTTTCCACATAGTATCACAATAATCCCTTGATGTAGGTATTGTAATTTTGCCCCTGAAGGTGAGGAAACTGAGGCTCATAGAGATGGAGCAAGTAAGTGATACAGCACAGAATTGAATGCAGGACTAAGTGACTCCAGACACCCCAACACTCCTTCACAATGCTCCCCTCCATTAGGGACAGCTGAACTCATGTCCAACATCACCAGAAAGGAGGGACCATGGCTGCTTCCTCGCTAGGGTGTTGACCGCACCCATCACAGGGGACAGAGAGAGGATAGAGCAAGCAGGTCAGCGTCTCAAGTCCTCTCTTCAAAAATACGTGAGATGTTAGGTAACTTTTTGTAGCCTCAGCTTCCTCATCTTCAAAGTGGAGTGATAATAACATCTGTTTCATAGAGTTGTGAGAGTCAGTTCACTTGAGGTTAGAAGGGCTTTCTATGCTAACCCATGGAGACCTAAGTAATGGAGAGACTCTGGTTTTAACAAGAGAATATGTGTCTTATTCAGTAGGATATACGAGAAGAAGGAAAAGAGAGGAAGAGGGAGAAAGAAACAGCAAAACATAACAGATGCATAGACAGACATTGAACGAAAGAGGTGTGTGTGTGTGCGTGTGTGTGTGTGTCTTGAGGCAAAGGAGAAGATCAGACAATTAGAATGTCAAATCTGAAAAGACCACTGAAGTCCATGCAGTGGAATCCAACTCTCTCACTTTAGAGTTGGGACTGAGGGTCAGAGAAGAGAAGAGACAGAGACTGGACTAGGATGGATGACCTTGACCCTGGCCCTGAGCTCTTACGGGGGCTGCAGTGCAGGAACATCATCAGGCAAGGTCAGAAATAAAGCTCCCAGACTGAGCCCCCTTTGTAGGCCCTGGAAACCGCACCTCTGTGAGGCTCTCTGAGCCCTGTGGCCCAGCCTCCCAGGGAGCCTGGATCCAGGAGATTCAGTCTGCTCTGAAATTGGAGTGATTTCAAAAAGACAAAGGCTGGCCATCCTATAGTGAGTGATTCCTACAGAAACAAGCAAGGCTCTTCTTATCTCAGAGATGCAGATCGGGAGCCACCTGCTTTGATTCCACCACCACGTGTTAGGTGACCTTGCTGTACATACCCAGCTTCTCTGGGCTGTAGCTTCTGTCAGGTGTAAAGAGAAGACCAGGCTAAATAATCTCCCCGTTCCTTTGCTGGTCTGGCATTCAAAGATTCTGGGATTCAAAGTGCATTTTACCTCACAAAGAAATTCATCATCTCCCCTAATGTCCAGGCCGGCAGCAATGGGCAGGCAAGTTTTCAGCTAATCAACTTCACAAACTGCTATGACCTTAGTGGGCCTCTCCCCTTCTGGTCACATGGAAACAACAGGCCTCAGAGATTTAGTATCAAAACAAAGGAAAATGTGCAAAACCTCTTTCCTGTGTCCCCACACCACACTCTGACTCCTCTCCATATCCTCTCTCCCTGCTCTTTTCCCATATTGCTTTTTTTTTTTTCAGATTTTTATTTTTTTATTTTTTTCCTTTTTCTCCCCAAATCCCCCCAGTACATAGTTGTATATTCTTTGTTGTGGGTCCTTCTAGTTGTGGCATGTGGGATGCTGCCTCAGCGTGGTTCGATGAGCAGTGCCATGTCCGTGCCCAGGATTCGAACCAACGAAACACTGGGCTGCCTGCAGCGGAGCGCGCGAACTTAACCGCTCGGCCACGGGGCCAGCCCCCTCCCATATTGCTTTTTGCTGCAAATTATTCTAACTGCCAGTCCACAGCCTCTCCAGTCCTCCCCGGCGTGTGAGGTGGGAAGCAACAATAGTCCCTGGACTCTGCTGAGGTCTCTGCCACCTGCAAAGTACTTTCATATGTCTGCATTTGTCCTCCTAGGAAGTGGGGATGCAGGTAGAGCAGAAAACTATCACCCACAAATTACTGACAAAGTAAGTGAGGCCCAGAAAGGGTCATGGAGGAAGGGAATGGTGGGCATGTGACCCCCTCCAGTAGGTGTGTGAGGCTCGTACTCAAAGAACGGAGGTAGGTGGAAGCAGAGCCTGGGCGGGGGCTGGCACGTGGTCAGTGCTCACTGAGTTTCTTCTGCTAATGCTGGATCAACTAAACAAATGCCAGCTCATCAGACAGACCAAGCACCACCTTCCCCAAGCGTCTCCCTCCTGACGCGATGAGCTGCTTGAGGGCGTGGGCACAGCTTGTTTACCTCTATGTATCGCCCACGCCAGACCTGGCACAGAGTGGGTGTTCCGTAAATGTTAAACCAAATTGAACTGAATGAGGAGAAAGAAGGGGAGGCAGTGGGAGGGAGAAGGATGGGGTGGGGAGCAAGGAGCTGGGAGCTGGCTGAGAGAGAACTCTTGACTCACATAGGAGAAGTCCTCAGCATTCTGGCAGAGGAGCTTGGGAAAAATGGCCTGCCTCTGGAACCGTTCCTCATCCTCAAAGATGTTGCCATACATGAAGCCATTCATCATGGTGGAGTGGGCGTGGATGTCAATATAAAACTCCAGGCTTGTTTTCTGTTGAAAAAAAGGATAACAAATGACAAGCCTGGGGCCACAGAGCTTGCCTTAAAGGCACCAGAAAGTAAACACACACACACACACACATGCATGCATGCACACATATTCATTTCCTTTCAGCTGGACCTATGTGTCAGCAGATTTGGCAGCCTTTTGCAATGTGATTGGAGGGGTTGAGACCAGTGAGGATCAATTTCTCCTCACTTTTAATACCATCTGCCCTCAGGGTCCACCATTAGCATCCCTCTTTAGAGTTCTTCTGAAAAAGTGAGTTTTTCTGTTGGATTAAGTCATGATGTTACTTACCCCAAACAGTTAATACATTCCTGACTAAAGGCATTAGCAGAATTTGTTTCTTTTATTAATGAGACATACCTTCAGGCAACATAATTGTATTGACGTGGGCCTGCTTATGGCTTTGCCCTGACTGGGCCATTTCCAGCTAAGGGGGTCTGGGGTCAGTCATAGGCCCACTGTGGGCCTCAGCTTTCTTATTGGAAACACAGATATTTTAATTCCAACCTCAGAGAGTTAGAGTGGGAATCAAACACTGCAATAATAATTACTACCATTTACTGCATATTTACTGCATGCTGGCACCATCTGGGGAGCTTTACACGTGACATCTTAGTTACTTCTTTTATTTAACCTCATTTCATGATGCCACACCTATTCCCCAATAATATATAAATAGTGCATGGGGAAAAAAACACCTTGTAATCTGTAAAGATGCTTGTGGCTAGTCTTTCTTCGCGATCTACTTGCACATATTTAAGGCATTCTCTAGCTTGATATGGTAGTATTCCTTAGCATTCCTGTCTATGAGCTCCCTGAAGGCAGGGGGATAGTCTGTAAGCAGCCCAGTGCCCATACGTGAAGGATGCTCAGCAGCTGTGCACAGAAGGACTAAACAAATGGCCCCAGAGAGGTTACTCCACATACTGTAATGGACTGGCAGGAATTAGGGAATTTTTAGGCCCTTAGATCCTCTATGTCCTTCAAATCTGACCTTCTTTTCCTATATATAAGTCCTATTTATATTTATTAATTCTTTCTGAGACTAACAGAGGCCCCAAATGGGGAAGGAACTTGTCCAAGCTCATGGCATAAGTGGGAATGAAACCCAGGTCTGCTGACCCCTGACAGTTAACTTATCATCATCAATGGCCATCGCTAGAAACAGCCAAGGCAAAACCTGGCCGCCTTTCCACCCCCTTTCTAGCATGTGGTCCTGGGAAAGAAGAAATGTCCATGCTTAGAAGGATTCTCCCTCCTTGGGACACTTTTAAACAGAGTTAAAACCAAATGAAAACCATGTTGCTTCTAGAATGTGGACCTGATGACTGTCATTTCATTTGCCTTAGAGTTGGAGTGAAAAATTCTGTCTTGCCGAGCTCCCAGCTCTCTGGGTAGCATAAGCTGTCTTTTGAGAGATACAAGATGCACTGCTCCGTGTGATATTAAACTCATCATTTTCAGCTTTGGAGGTGGAATACACAATGATTCAACAGGAGCCCTATAAAAGTCATCTTCGCAATTTTATTTTCTTCAATTGTCTGTCTTTTCCTCTGAGCTTTTGATGAGCTGCAGAGGAAAGGAGGAGGTAGACAGATGACTTAAGAAGTGTGTAAGAAAAAACTGCAATTTACATCTCCAGATGTCAGAGCCGGAGAGAGCCTTGGAAACCAGCTTCTCTGACCTTTCTTGGAACTGCCCTGGATGGAGAGGTTGCTTGCTGAAGGCGGCCAGCAAGTTCGCAAAGGAGCAAGAATTAGAACCTGGCTCGACTGATAGCCATTCTGGAGTGGCTTCCACTGCCCCGTCCTGACACCCAGCACCTAATGTGAGTTCACTTTAAATAGCCAGCAGATGAGTTATATTGATTAATTTACATGGTTCATAAGTCAAAAAGATATGAAAGAATTTACAGTGAAAGATCTCCCTTCCACCCCTCCTCCAGGTACCTAGTTTCACTCTCCAGAAGCAACTCATGTTATCAGGTTCACATGCATCCTTCCAGAAATAGTTTCTGCACAAACAAGTACATATTCCCCCCATCTTCCTCCCAACACAAACAAATAGTAGCACACTGAACACGCTATCCAGATCTGCTTTTTCTCTCTTAATATGTCTTGAAGGTAATTTTTTCTCAGTACACAGAAAGTTACCCCATCCTTTTTAACAGCCATGTATAAACTATCTAACAAGTGCCCTATCGATAGACACATGAGTTATTTCCAAACTTTCATGTTACAAACACTGTCTTAGAGATTGCCTCTGTATATACACTAATTCACACATATGCAACCATATGTAGGATAAATTCCTAGAAGTAGAATTCCTGGATCCTCTGTGTATTTGCAATTCTGATCAATATTGACAACTGACCTCCGTAGAAGGAGCAATTTACACTCCTAGCAATGTCTCTTTCTCAATTACCTTGACAACGTGGGTGGAATCAAACTTTTAGACATTTGCCAATTTGATGGGTGAAAAATGATATTTAAGATTAGTTTTAATGTCAATTTCTTTTAGTATAATTATCTTTTATTATATAGTTAAGTATCTTATCATATGTTTGAGAACTATTTGCATTTTCTATGAATTGTCTCTTCATTTCTTTGCCCATTTTAGAAATTGACTTGTTGGGCTTTGTTTCTTATTGATTTACAGAAGCTATATATAAGAGAGACAGCCTTTACGTGTAGTATACAAATGTTTTTTCTCAGTTTGTCATTGTTTTTTGACTTTACTTCTACTGGTACTTTTTTCCATGTAAAATTTTTTAAATGTTAATTTTTTACACAGATTTACCAATCTTTTGTCTTGTTGTTTGTGGGTTGAATTTTTTCATTGTCTCTTCTATTATTTCTATTGTTTCATTCTTTTATGTTTAAATATTTCATTTCAATTTTAATTTACATGGAGGTAGGGTGTGAGGTAAGGATTAAAGTTTGTTGTGCCACACCATTTATTACATTGTGCATCTTTTTCCCACTGACTTGAAAAGCAACCTTAACCATAAACATTTTTTGATATATTTGGGTTAGTTTTGGATTTTCTATTCTGTTCTAACCATTTGTCTTTTCATGTGTCAATACTATACAGTTTAAATTACATTAAGTTTACAATGTTTTTTAATATTTGGAGGGCTAGTATCACCTCATGTTTCTTTTCCCAAATTTTCCTGTATTTTCTTGCAAATTTTGCTCTTTGATATTTATAATTAGCTTGTTTCATTTTCCTTGCTCTACAAAATCCTGTGAATATTCTCAATATTTATAATATAATCCTATTAATTTTTCATATTAATATAGGAAGAATTGACTCATGACTTTGAGCCTTCCAATCCGAGAATATGTTTTGACTTTCCATTTATTCAAGTTTCCTTTTGGATATAGCAGGAAGTTTCAAAAGTGTTTCTTTTTCTCATATAGACCCTGAACATTTCTTTTTGATGCCTAGGCAGTTTATATTTTTAGTTGCTGTTGTAAATGTGATGTATTCTTCCATTAAATCTTCTAACTAGCAGTTCTTTATAAATATTAAGGCTCTTGTTTTCAACATATTTAATTTTTTTTTTCCTTTTTCTCCCCAAAGCCCCCGGTACATAGTTGTATATTCTTCATTGTGGGTTCTTCTAGTTGTGGTATGTGGGACGCTGCCTCAACATGGTTTGATGAGCAGTGCCATGTCCGCGCCCAGGATTCGAACCAACGAAACACTGGGCTGCCTGCAGCAGAGTGCGCGAACTTAACCACTCGGCCACGGGGCCAGCCCCTCAACATATTTAATTTTTACCCAGACACTATACTAATTCTATTATTATTTGCATAATTTCTCATCCAATTTTCTTGGATTTTCATTTGCTTACTAATTCAACAAATAATCACTGAGTACCCACTATGTATCAGACAGTGTTCTAAGCACTGGAGATATGCACCAGGGAATGATCTGGGCATGACAGATATAGCAATGAACATAATAGAAAGCTTCTGATCTCAAAGAGTTTACATTCTGTGGAGAGAGAAAGGAAATAAACAAATCAATGAATAAATATACAAGACGTCAGGAGGTATTAATGCCATGGAGACAAATAAAACACAGTAAGGGAATAGAAAGTAATAGCGGTTCTGGAAAGACAGAGAGTTGAACGGAGTAGGAGAGTTAGTCTTGAGGATATCAGGTAGAAGAGTATTCCAGGTAGAAGGAGAAGTAAATGCAAAAGTCACATGCACTTGGTATGTGTGAGGAACAGCAGGGAGGTGAGGAAGCCTGGGAGGAGGGACCAAATAAAGGGGGTATTGTTTTCCAGGGTTGTAATCTTATCACTCATACATAGTAATTTTATCTCCTCTTTTTGGGTTTTTATGCTTCTAATTTCTTTTTCATGTCTAACTGCATTGGCTAGTACCTCCAAAACAATGGTAAAGGATTAGTCAGGTTCTAGGATCCCTTCTCACTCTAGAATTCTAGGGGCTGGAAAAAAACATTCTTCAGATATGAGGGAGAAATTAAAACTTTCCCGGACAAACAAAAGCTAAGGGACTTCATAGCCATGAGACTCCCCCCCCCAGAAGAAATCCTCAAGAAGGCCCCCATACTTGAAAAGAAAAGCGAGAAAGCGGTCACAAAACACAAAGTAAGGAGATAAATAGTTAGACAGAATCTGAATAGGACAGCAAATATTCAACTATAGCATTAAGCGAAAGGGAAGGAAAACACCAAAAACAAAGATAATCCTGTCATTTTAACCACAAACTCACAACACAAGATGGAAAAAGATATGAGGAAAAACACTTAGGAAGGGAGGAGGAAAGGGACTGAATCAGTTGAGGCTAATGAATTAAGAGGTCATCAGAAAATGGACTATCTTATACATGAGATTCTCAACACAAACCTCAGGGTAAACACTAAACAAAAAAGCAGAACAGAGACACAAAGAATAAATAAGGAGAAAATAAAGAAACATATCATAAAAAACTCCATAATTCAAT